AATAAAAAATAGAAATGCAACGAATCTATAGTGTCAGAAGCCAATCAATCGTTGCCTGGGTCATGGGGGGGTGGTAATAAAAAGGGGCACAAGGAAACATTGGGGGAAGACCCTTGAAAACTTGATGCTCAGTGAAAGAAGCCAGGCATCAAAGGCCACCTGTGGTAGGATTCCATCCATATGAAATATCCCGAACAAGCAAATCCACAGAAACAGAAAGTGGGTTATTAGGAGCCAGGGGATAGGGGGAGGGAGATGGGGAGTGAGTGCTAATGGGGGAAGCTTCCTTTGGGAGCATGGCAAGGTCTTGGAACTAGGTGCACAACACTGTGAGTGTACTAAATGCCAAGGAGTTGTCCACTTTAAACTGATTAATGTGAATTTTTCCTCAATAAAAAAAAAAAAGGAATGGCAAGAGTTACAGATACACACACCCCTCCATCCTGCTCTCCATCCTCACCTGCAGTCCCACCCCGCCCTGCTCCACCCCCTCCCAGCCACCTGCCCTGGCCCATTGCCCCCTCCTCCTAGGCTCCTCAAACACCCTCCCCACTTTAAACCTTGGACTGTCCCTGCAGTTTCCTGGAAGTGACTCACTGCACGGGACAGCAGAGCAAGCCCCGCTCCGAGGAACAAAGGTAGCTGAAACCCCAGCATGCTCAGAGCAACAGACATTTGTCCCTGTGCTTGTCCCAGCGTGCAGATGACAGAGCTGTCCCCGAGAGCAAAGCCATGGGCCCACAATAGTCAGCTGACTCAAGGGGACAGGGAGCCCCCCACCCCTGCCTGCCCCATCCCCAGCTCATGCCCTCTGCCCCCTTCACGGAAGCTGGTCTGCAAGGATGGCACCGCAATCTGGGTCCTCCCCGGGTTCACGCCCTTGTGTGGTCCCCACGCCATCTGGGCTGACCTGGGACTCCATGGAAGCAACAGAATGCATCACAAGTGACGCTGGCCCAGTTCCAGGACCCAGCTGGAGGAGATCTGGTGGTCTCCTCTCTGCACTCTGAGGAGCCCTGAGTTGCCACGAAGGAGAGAAGGCCGTCCTGCTCAGGGGGCCACAGAGAGAGGGAGTGGTCCTGCTGCCTGGCCATCCCAAGGCACCAGACATGACAGAGAAATTCTAGATGCTGACGTCCAAGCCGCCCCCAGAGGACACCGTTTGATACGTGGAACAGAAGAGCACCCATGACAGCGAACCCGTGGGGGAGGTTTGCTCCACCGAGTCCACGTGACGCCCACGGAGGAGCCAGACCTCTGCTTAGGTGGCATGTGACAAGTGGCTTCCTACCCTCCCCCTCGCCCTCTGACCCACTGACGCTGACCCTGCCTGAGCAAAAGGGAGAAAAACATAAAAACAAGAAAATCCTACACTGTGGTAGGACTCCTTCTTGTCAGCGGGAAGAAGCCCATGTTCTTCTTCTGCCTCAGTATACCTTGGCTGAGCAGGTGCCAAGAGAAGGCCTTGTACCCCAGGAGATGGGACCCCTATGGTTGCTGCAGCCCACCCCCCAAGCCTTCACTCCCGCTGCCCCCCACCTGCACTCCCTGACGGAGCGCTCAGCACCCCCATATGCTGCCCAAGGCCCAGACTCCAAAACCTACCTCAACCACCTTCCCCACACTGGGAGGTAGGTGGGTCCCCAAAGCCAAACTTTACCACCCCCAAGAAGCCCTCCCTGGTGCACCTGCTCACTCTACCCCTCCCCAGCGTCTCATCGTCAGGGGCCAGCTTCCTGCCTGCCAGATGTGGGAGCCCCAACACCCTACGTGGGACCCTGGGTGCTCTCCCAGCAGTGGGCTGCATGGGCCCGGCCGGGGGCAAGACACCCAGTTCAGCTTCAGGGATGTCAGGAAGGTCCTGCCCTGGCAAAGGAGGCTACAGGGGGCCCTGGCCATGCCATTTGGAAATGAGGAAAATGAGGATTAGGTAAGAACCTTGCCCTCAACACCCAGCAGTCAGGGTGCGTATGATCTAGATTTTCTGTATTCCTCATGCTCTGACATCCGGGGCCTCACTGACCAGGAGGGACTGTCCCTCACATCCGGGGCCTCGCTGACCGGGAGAGACTGTCCCTCACATCCGGGGCCTCACTGACCAGGAGGCACTGTCGCTCATGGAGTTAGCCAGTTCCCAGAGACAGCAAACAGCTCACCAGTGGAGTGCACATTTCACGTGCAAACCAATCCGTCCAGAGCCCACACACTGAGCCAGGATCCTGCTGCCCTGATCACCCAGGGCCCACTGCCAGACAGCTGGGGACAGTGCATTGTCAGCTCCTGACATCAAGCTGATTGCCAGTGTCCCTCCAGATTAAACATTATCGCCAGCAGTAAGACCCAGCTCTGAGCAACACCGCCAGATAAGGAATTCGGTTGCCCGGCCCCTGAAGCTCCCTCTTTCCGAAAGTCCTGGGTGCCCTAGATACTTGACTGCCCAAGTGACCCCACTTCTCCCTCCCCGCCCCAATTCATCTTCTTATGCTTGAAATTCACCAGTGAAGGGGCGCCTGGGGGGCTCAGTCAGTGAAGCATCTCCCTTCGGCTCGGGTCATGACCCCAGGGTCCTGGGATCGAGCCCCGCATCGGGCTCCCTGCTCAGAGGGGGGAGTCTGCTTCTCCCTCTGCCTCTCCCCCCGCTCCTGCTCTCTCTCAAATAAATAAATAAAATCTTTAAAAAAATAAACTCACCAGTAAAGAGTGATCCCACAAAATCCTGGACACCCCACCCTGGGACCCTAACAGAGGCAGAGCCCCAGGTCTACACTGCCTCTCTTTACCTGTGATCTCACTGTGTGGCCCGCGAGGGTGCCATGTGCCCTCTTGTGAGGACTTGTGAGTCATCACCCTCGTTCCTCGAAGCTCCCAGATAGTCTTTGCTGAAGTGTGTCCAGCGACAAGAACCACAAGGGCCGGTCCAGCCACAGCATTGGCTGCAGATGGTTAAGGTCTCTGGGGGCTGGCCACGCAGAGCACAGACCCAGGCGGATGCCCCAGGCGTTCCTAGCCAGTGGTGTCACTGTCAACAAGCTGGTACCTATGGGACAGACAGCACTGCCCCAGAGCCCTCTGGGATTATTCAAATTAGCCAATCCCAAACCCGATTACCCTGCCTCACCCGTTCCTTCTCACGGGAACCACGATAAAGGTTCTTGCCCACATTTTCCTCCCTCTGCCTCCTGACCCTGTGCTTCCTTTCCCTGTGTGGTGTAGTGTGCACCCCCCGCCCCACCGTCTTTTGGGAACTGTCTTTTCAATGGCAGCCCTCACCTGCACAATAATCAAGCCTACATTTTAAAACTGGGTGGAGCCCAGACCAACCCTGGGATGCCCAGCTTACATCTCAAAGAGGAAAAAGCCTTGATGGATGGCGGCCCCCCAGGACTCCGGGGGGCCCTGCCCAAGTTCTCTCTTCTGCACAGGAGCCGGTGGGTAACGCAGACCACCCCGCTGCCCCAGGAAGCCAGAGGCAGAGTGGCCGAGGGAGCGCCCAGGGCTGGGTCCCCGAGTCCCACTCTCTCGGGACACGTCCACCATGGAGGAGGGGCTGGAATGGAGACCACTGGCTGCCCAGGCAGAGGGAGACAGAGGCCCAAAGGCAGGCAGACGATGTGAAGCGACTTTAATCAGCACCTTTAGATGGGGGCAGCAGGAGTGTCTACGTGTGGGGTCGCCCCTGGGAGCAGCCTGGGGCCAGCCCCTCAATCCCAGCTGTGATGTACTCCCCACCCAGGCTCCCTGAATCCAGGGGGAGGGTCCCGGCACCCCCAACCTCTCCAGGGCCAGCTCAGGAGCTCAGGTCCGGGTGCTGCCCAGCCAGAAGGACCCACGTCTGAGGGCTGGTGCGCCAGCAGCTGCGGGGGTACATGTCCTCATAGCTGGCCCTGCTCAGGAACCAGCTGTGGTGGCAATAGCTCATCCTCAGAGCAGTGAGGTCCTCCTGTCAGACAGCAGCAGGGACTCCTTCACAACCATCAGCAGCCCCAGCGGGCGCAGGCACCCCCGGGCACAGAGCCGGGACAGCACGAACAGGGAGATGGCAGCCACACCGGCACTGAGCACCACTGCGGGGGACAGACAGGCAGGAGTCAGCCACACAGAGAAGGGGCGTCTGCAGCCTGTCCCCTCCCCAGGCCCCAGGAGTGGGAGGGCCTGGTCATCTTACCCGCAGCCGCGATAACCCCACAAGCACTCCGGTTTCCAGACTGGACGGAATCCTGGTCCCCAACGGGGCTCGTTGTGGCATTCCTGAGAGAAGGGACACTGTGCGGGGTCACAGGGGTCCCCGTGGACGTGGCAGTCCCTTCCTGGAGGGTCTCAGTTCCTGCAATAAGTCCAGGCATTCAGCAGCTGGGGAGTGGGCACTGAGGATGGGGGTGGAATCGGACACGAACAGGTGTTCCAAATGCCTGGGGGGCCTTGGGGCTCATCTTCCACTGCCCCCACGGGGATGCAGGCACGGGAGGATACAAGCGTCCACACCCTCAGCCTGGTCACCCACCGGAAGGTGTCAGGTGTCTTTATCTAACGCCCAGCCCTCCCCACCCCTCCAGGCAGGCGGAGGTCCCATGACACACACCACAGCCAAGCTCGTCACTGGAGGCGGGACAGTCCGGATGGCCATCGCAGAGCCAGGTGCGTGGGATGCAGGCACCGCCTAGCAGGCAGCGGAGCTCCCCCGCCGGGCAGGGCTGGGAACTGCAGTTGTGAACATTCTCCACGATGCCATCTGGGCAGTCATCGACGTTGTCACAAGGGCAGGGGCTGCCAGTGGGTGGCTGGCACTCTCCGTCCTGGGCACAAGGCTTGATTCCTGGGGTTACATGGTCAGTCAGGTGCCAAACACCCACCCAACAGTGCTGCAGTATGCCCCTCCACCCGGCCTTCCAGAAACAGGTAACCCTAGAAAACCCACGCATCCTAAAGACTCCCTGTTGTTAGCTCCACCTGCCAAGGACTGGCCTCCCTGAAAGCCCCTCTTCCCAAGGCCCCCGCTAAGTCCGCTTCCCAGTAAACCCACCTCTTCTTGTAAGTCCGGCCCATCCTCAGGCCCCGCCCCATTATCCCCCTCCCCGCCTGAAGGCCACACCCCTCACACAGCACCTCCCCTCCCGCGGCCCTGCCCCCTCAAGCCCCGCCCCCGGAGCGCGGCTACTCACTGCACTCCTCCTCATCGCTGCCGTCGGGGCAGTCCTTGTCCCTGTCGCAGCGCAGAGTGAGGGGCACGCAGAAGCCACTGGTGCGGCACTGGAAGCTGGTGGGCGGGCACGACCCTGCAAGATGCACACAAGTGAGGTCTGGGAGGCCCGAGTCGCGCCCCCCACTACCAGGGGCACAGTGGTTACAGACTGCGACCACCAGGAGGCAGGCCAGGTCCCAGGGCGTTGGAATGACACTGGTAGCCACCATTTGCTGAGGACCTACTCCGTGGGAGGCTTGGAGGGCAGGTTCTACTGCCATCCCCATGCTGCAGAAGGCACTGAGGAGAGAGGCAAGGCCCCGGGCTGCAGGGCTGGTGGCAGAGCCCAGGTATGAACCCAGGTCTCACTGATCTGAGTCTTTACCAGGCTTCAGGCCAGATGGTCTCCCCAAGAGGCCCTCCAAAATCCACGGTTAAACAGACTGGGGTACGGGCCATCTCTGAACCTGCCCTGGACCGGGCCCATGGTCTGGGTCAGCAGGGCCTGTTATATCCCACCTGCTTAGCCAATGGGAAACAGAGGCCCTGGGCAGAGGACCTACTTAGTTACCAAGGGTTGTCCACTCACCTCCTAAATTCCTTCCAGATCCGACCACTTTCCCCATCCTGAATGTGCCATCTCCTCACCAGGCCCCGTCCCCATTTCCATCTGGACACTGGGGACCTCACTGAGTCACATCATTCAGTCTCCTGCCCTTGCCCTCCCCTCTGCTCAAAACCATGCCCTGGTCCCCTGACCCTTTCACACCAAATCCCTATTTTGTCTATGTGGCCGCAAGGCCTGGCCCAGCCCTGCCGCCGTGAACCCTTCCTGGACCTCACCTCCTCCCTCCTTCTTCCTCTTCATCCAGCTCCCTCTGTCCTGGACTCCTCGCTGTTCTCCAAGAGTCCCGGCTCGTTTCCACCTCAGGGACTCTGCCTGTGCTGATCCTTGGCCCAGTGCCTCCTCTCCTCCCCCCACTCTGCAACTGGTGATTCCTCCTCAGCCTTCAGATCTCAGCTTCTTTCTTGGAAAGGGTCTCTTGCACCTGAGACGCCTGAAGCCCTGCCTTCCACTTACAATGGTCCTCAAACTGGTATCCACACAGACTGGACACTCAGTGAAGATAAGGGCCGGTACTGACTGCAAGCCCAGGGCGGTACAGATACAAGTCACACAAGGATCAAGGCTGTGTCCTGATTGAGATCTGAGCCTTCCTGGACCCCAGGTAGTGAGGCTCGGGCTACATGCTGATCTGGAGGAGCACAGAAGGGCCTAGAACGTGGGCCAGCAGGAGGGAGCCTGACAGACTGAGGAAAGGAATGGCCTTTAAGGCTCTCTTCCTGGGCTCAGTGAGGGGGATGCAAATACCTGCTTGGCCCCAACCTAGTGGCACTCCAGTCGATCCTGGTACTCTTGCCACTTCCACCTTTACTCCGAGAGCCTGAGCCCCCAAACCCCCTTCTCTCCATCGCCAGTCCCTCCACAGGCCTCCAGGCCCAATGATACCTGTGGCCCACACAGTCCCTGAGCTTTTGAAGCCAGGAAGAGCTGTGGCCAGACCTGGAGCTGGCTTCCTTCCCTACCCACTTGGGGGGGGGGGGGCGTCTGGCGGTCTCTGGGTGCGGCTTCCTCTCCAAGCCTAGCCATTCTCAGCCCTGCCAACCTCCAGACCTCCCTCCCTGGAGTGTGTTCTTCCTGGAAAGTGGGAGGCAGAGCACAGCAGACCAGGCCTCCTAGGGCTGTGGGGTCAGACAGGCGTGAAAAGTGACCAGTGACTTTCCCTCCCAGCCTCAGTTCCCTCCCCTGTAAAAGGAGCACGCTAGGAGTCCCTATCTCAGTGTCTTGAGGAGAGGAGACCACTTGTTGAGTTTGGTACTTGGTTAAAGTGAGTCCTGCCTCCTTAAAGGAACCAGGAACATTTAGCCTGTAAAGGCAGGGGCTTTGGGGTGAGGCAGGAGACCACATCAGACAGGAACTCACAGCTGAAAGGGAGGTCACCTGTGCCTACAGGGAGGTCACTCTATCCCACCCAGCTGCCTCTGGGAACATCAGAGAGGGCCATCAAGATCACTTAGGCCCAGGAGCAGGTGTCCAAGGGCCTGGGGTCACAGGGAGGGAGAGAAACCTTTTGTTCTCTAAGGCTAGAGGAGGAAGGCGCAGGGATGGGGAGGGCGGGGGCTGGTCGCCCAGGAAACTCAGCCATATGGCCTCAGGGTCGGACAAGGGTGTAGGGGCGCAGCTGCTGCAAGAGGCGCCAGGTGACCGGCCATGCACAGAGGTCGGACAACCAGAGCTACAACGAGCCTTCCTGCCCACGCTAGGCTGAAGGGCGGCTTGGAGGTGACAAAGAGGTCCGCCAAAGCAGAGCAGGAGTGGGGTGTGAGCAGGCAGAGCCACCCAGGCGACCGTCCCCCACTGGAGATGGCTCGCTCACAGGCCGGGCTCCCTGCAAGCCAGAGTCTCCAGCCACGTGCCGGGGGAGTGTCCGGGACGAACAAGCGGCACAGCCAATGGCGAGGCGCGGCCGGCGCGCGGGGCGGGACCGGGCCGCCCGAGGGGCGCGCGCGTAGGGTGCGCGGAGCTCACTCACCTGGGGCCTGGGCCAAGAACTGGATCGGGACCGGGGTCGGGGCGGCCTCCAGGCCCAGCCCAAAGCCGAGCAGCAGCCGCAGGGCCAGGCCCAGGGCCGCTGTCCGCCGCACTCCGCACTGCGCCATGCAGCCACTTGCCGCACCGCCCCCGCCCTGGCACTGACCACGCGCCCACGGGGCCTCGCTTTTATCCTCGCGCACGCGCGCCGCGGCGGGGGCGGGGCCCACGCCCAGAGGATCCGCGGCGCCCGCGGCTAAGAGTACCGTAAACATCCGAATACGAGGGGACCCACAATATGAGGCTCTAACCCACTTTTCCCAGTGACAAGGTATATCGAAAGATGTTGGGCCCATTTGAAGTTAGAAACTGTGGGGATGTAAACGAACTCGTCGCTGTCTACTTACAGTATCGACTGTGTTGCATGCATCCTGCAGCAAATGTTACTATCATATTTAATATGGCAGCCATTCCCCTCAGGCAGGCTGCAGCCCCTCCCTCCTCCCCGCTTCCCTTGTGCACCCAGCTTTTTCTACCTTGCTTACTTTGACTTAGTGTCTGATGACTCACTAGAAGGTCACCGCAGGACAGGAATGCTGTGTTGTTCCTGCATCCCCGGTGCCTAGCAGAGCGTCTGCCACAAGAGTAGGCTCTTAAATATTTAGTGAATAAATGAACGAAACACTTCCAGAAGGCCCTGGCTTTCATCAAGGGTCCTGTCCCTCGCACCTGGATGCGCTCACCCACGCCCACTGCCTCCTGCAGTCTTCCTCACAGGTAGGTGGGTATTATTCTTCCGGAACAAGATGTGCAAAGGCAGCCCGTGGGCTTTCTCTTCTCATGCTCAACCAATAAGCACATAAAATACAAACCTTCTAGCCAATCAGAGGCTGTATTTTCTTGAAAATAAATATTTTATAGATAGCTCTGACTTCAGAAGAAGCAACGGGTCGGACGGCCAGCAGAACCCCAGACAAGTGGCGGTCCCTCAGTGTTAGGTATGCAAGCATTTACCACCACCACCACCACCCCCCCCCCCCCCCGTTTCCTGGGAAGCAACACTAAAGCATCCAGATTTTTCCCACAAGGGGCTGTTTGCAGGTTGTTGGCAAGCTTCACTATTTGAAAATGTTGAAAGTTACAGCTGCTTTTGGACAGTGTATATTATATGTGTGTGTGTTGGGGTTTTTTGTTGTTTCAAAACCTCCCAGATTCCCCGGGGAAATGGGTAAGAGGCTAAGGTGTGCAGAGGCAGGTGGAAAGGTGACAAACAGGACTGTGCCCTGCAGGGGTGGGGAGCGTCCCATCTTTGAGGCTCAGAGGTCTCGGGGGTGCAGGGATAAAAGCTGAAGAAGCCATGGATTTGTAGTAGTTAGGCAGACTCATCAGCTGCCAGGTTCAATTTCAGTGAGCCTGAGCTAGTTCCTGTCCTTCCATTCCTGTTTTTCTGCCGAGGGGGTGTGGCACCAGCCATGACCTCACGGGATTGCTCCACAAGGGAGCGGAGATCCTGAAAGCGTTCAAAACAGTACCTAGCACGCAGAGCTCAGGTATCAGACCTCCTTCCCACCCCCACTCCCTTGTGAAATTTCAAGTCTGTGCATAAGAACTATTCAGAAACCTTCAATGGCATATCTTACCTGCAGTCTGTGGAAGCCCTCAGGGCTGCCTTCCTTGTGCCCTCAGACTTCCTCTCCCTCCCAATCTCCTTTCTGAATCTGACTCAACCTTTGCTCCTATTAGAGTCCCAACTCCTCCAGAAAGCCTGCCCTGGGGGCTGCAGCCCAGGGTTTTCTCCCAGATGAGCTTTTAGCATTTATATGGCCCACTGTGGGGCTCCAGGATACATCCTGGCTGGGACTGGGACCCTTTCCGGCCTTGCTCTGCGCTTCCAGAAAGCAGGGCAGTCTCAACACTCTGATCATCACACATCTCTTCTGCCTACTGAAGGACTGTGGGGTTCTTCCATAGGGCAGCCATGACACACGTCCACTTGAGGTCCCTACATGGCTCCCCATTCCCTGCGGCCAGACTTGGGTTGCTTCTTTTCTGGCTTTCACTCAACTGTTCATTCCTCCACAAGGTCCAGCCCCTTCCTTTCCTAGGCTCACCCCGCCTCGCTCCCCAGGCCCACATAGAAAGGTTTCTGGCTCAGGGAGGCCTTCCCTCACCTGTCCTAGGTGAGCCTTCCCTGGGAGTTGCCCTGCTGTCCTTGGTCACCCCCACCAAGCTGTAGGGTGCTCACAGTCAGATGGGGGTGGCGGTGGAGGGTGCTGGCCAGTGTCCTCATGAGCAACGGCAACAGGAGCTCTTGAGAAACCTAAGGGAGCAGCTTGTGTTCAGCCCTGCAGTCCTTCACCATCAGTGCCCACCCAAACACCCACAGGCCCTGGAACCCAGTGTACTGCTCTCTAGGTTAGCCAGGCCCCCAGGGAAGGGATGGTGACAAATGCCGGAGCCCCTGGACCCCATGGCATCAGACTCGGTGCCCAGTGACAGCGTGTCACCCTGAAGCTCACGAACCCCTGCTCCCTCCCCTGCCCCTGGAGTGCTGGCAGAGTGAAGAGACTTCACTAGGAAATCCAGTTAAGTTGTATGGGGCTTCAAAAGTTAGAATGAAGTGATACTGGAGAGCTAGGTGTATTTGTCATAAGTTAGGTCACGTTCTCCCAGGAAGGAATACAAGGAGGGGAAGCAGTCAGGTGGCCCTGAGGGCCCAGCCACGTGCCCCGGGTGGGGGTGGGGGTGCGCAGAGTCACAGGTAAGGCTGGTCTTTGGACAGTTCCCACCTCTTCATGGGAGGAGCTGGGGGCACAGCCTTCTTCCCTGTGGCAGCTGCAGCTGAGCTGGAAGGGAAAAGAGACTTTGCTTAGGGCCGGGTCTCCAGAGAGCAGTGAGGAGGGATCTGAGGGAGCCCACACCTGTGCCCAGCAAGACCACGCCTGCCGAGACTCTGGGTCTGCAGGCCCGAGTGAGGGTATTTCAGAGCGCCCAAACTCCTTCACCAGGGTCCTCCAAAGGGTCAGCCAACCCTTGCTGGGAGCTGGCCAGCCCCCTTCCTGCCCCAGCCCCCATGTGAACCCCCAGTCAACCTGCCCTGGCTCCTGAGCTCAAAGCCAGCCATAAATAGTTGGGCTCCTCCTCTAGCACCCCTTCCCACTTGTGGCCCCAGGGTGGACGAGCACCCCATTCCTGCTGCCCCCAAACAGGACACTGGCAAAAGGGCCAAGCAATCAGGCGACAGGTGCCCACTGCTGTCTCCTCTCTTGGGTGCTGAGCACTTGCCACGTGGCAGGCCTGGCATGTGCCCCAGCACAGCACTAAGACCAGGCCATAGTCTAATGAGGCTGAGAGTCAAGTGCAATTGAAAAATACACCTTTTGGGGCGCCTGGGTGGTTCAATTGGTTAGGCGTAAGACTCTTGGTTTCGGTTCAGGTCATGATCTCAGAGTCCTGAGACTGAGCCCTGCATCAGGCTCCCCAGTGAACGGAAGTCTGCTTCCCCTCTCTCTCTCCCTCTGCCCCTCCCCCTGCTTGTGTGTGTATGCACATGCAAGCACTCTCTCTCTAAAATAAAAAAATAAATCTTAAAAAAAAAAAAAAGAAGAATACACCGTTTGGCCCAGAGTGAGCCCCAAGGAAAGACACTGTGACGACAAATCCAAGGCAGGTGCCTGCTGAGACACCCAAGCCCCTGGTGCCTAGGGCTGGAGAGGCTTGCACACACGGTTAAGTCCAAAGGGAGAGGAAGCGGGCGGGCAGGCTCTCATTGTGGAGGACACTCCCAGGAGCAGGGGTTCCAGGGCCTCCCACCCTCCCAGGAGTCTGAAGGAGGTGGAAGAGGCAGAAGCAGCCTCCCTAGGAAATGCAGGCATCCCAGGGGCAAGTGAGGGAGTCTGGGGAGAATTGGGTAGTGTGCCAGTCTGGTGCTGGACTCTGGCGAATCAGAAGGTAACAAGGACCATTCACCAAGTTCTAACTATACAGCAGGCCCTACCTGGCCTCATCACCTTACAGAGCTTGTCACACTGCAAGCCCACCACCCCTGATTTACAGATGAAGAAACGGAGGCTCAACAAAGCCAAAACACTGGCTGTAGAGCCCAGACACCACTGGGGTCTGAGCAAACTGGTTTGAAATCCTGCTTCTGCTCCCCACTAGCTGTGTGACCCAGTTAGGTCACGTGGCCTCTCTGTGCCTCAATTTCCTCTTCTCCAACAGGGGCCATCACTGCCTAACTTGTGGACAGGTAAGTAGGCAGGCATGGCATTGACTCCATTCTAAAACCTTACAGGTGTTAATTATGAAGATTAACCTTCATAACAACTCTGCTATAGACCGAATGTTTTGTCTCTCCCAAACTCCTATGTTGAAACTGCAACCCCCAACATGATGGTATTTGGAGGTAGAGCACTTGGGAGGTGATTAGGTCCTGAAGGAGGAGCCCTCATGAATGGGATTAGTGCCCTTACAAGAGATCCTAGACACCCCTTAACCCTTCCACCATGTGAGGACATAGCAAGAAAATGCCATCTGTGAACCAAGAAGAGTGCCCTCACCAGACATGGAATCTGCCAGCACCTTGATCCTGGACTTCCCAGCCTCCAGAACTGTGGGAAATATGTTTCTGTTGTTTATAAGCCACCACAGTCTATGATACTGTCATAGCAGCCAAGTGGACTGAGATAAACTCCCTAAAGTAGATATTGTTATCGTCCCCATTTATTTAAGAGAAGGCACCTGAGGCCAGGGACCAAACCGATTTTAAGGGGCCTGAGATTTATACAATTCTTTCTTTGGGGCGCCTGGCTGGTTCAGTTGGTGGAGCATCCGACTCTTGATTTCAGGGTCGTGAGTTCAAGCCCCATGTTGGGGG